CCCCCTTTATTCCCGCTTCACGCACACTGTCAAGACGCTGGTCTCACTCATGGGCACACAAATACTCGTATATATAATAATATATTATTATTACTCACTCTAGTTATAATGTTTTTCTATCATTGCCATAGAATCTGCGTATAGCAAAGAGCATCGAACTCGCAGAGTGTGCGGGGCAGGAACATACAATTGATAATGTACAACGTCTTTGAATACAAAACATGAATAAAACAATAATATAACATTCATTATCCAGTGGGCACAGTACACACATTACACGCATTTTCAAATCTCCTCATAAAATCAGGCTTAAAACATCGGGAGTGGCTTCTAAAAATGTCCGAATGTACGCTGTTCAAACACAAGCAATCTAAATAACAATACCTAGTTTCTAAGCCTGCATGTTCTTGGGGCTTTCCGACTCTTTTATTCGTATGTTTACGTTTTATTCAACTTCGTACAACTTCCGGTTCGTCTTTTGTTATTAAGTTTCGTTTCTCTTATCAATTGGGGGGGGGGGGGGGAGATTGAAAAAGCTATAGAACTTTCGACACTTACTATTATATAACGAGAATTGAAACGCTTTTATTCTTTAAATGTACGGAAATAAATTTGAAGAGGCCACTCCAAGCACGCCAAATGCACTGATTTTTTAAAAAAGTAACGGGAATGAAGAAAACAACAATAAGAGGCAACTATTTCGACCAGATGAACAACAGAAATCACAACTTTGTAACTTTTGCTCATATCAAACACCAAATGCATTAGCCTGAACTAGGAGGGTTTTTTCTGTTGTTTTTGTTTGTTTGTTTGTTTGTTTGTTTTTATCTTCGTTTTCTGTTTTTAAAGTTTGGATCTTGTCTGCCATTAGACACAATGTATGTTGTTTTAAGGGAGCAGAGGTGCAGTCTTATTTAGATTAAGTAGCCAATTATGGAAATGGGTACAAAATAGACTTTCGTCTAGTTATATTTCAGCTCAGATTGTTTTCGTGACATCATTTTCTTAGGTGAGTGTATGGTAGGGTTAAATACAGATTAACCGACGATGTTGCGTATCTGCAAACATGGAACAGAGCCCTGTTTCAGTGTCGGTTATGTAGGTGTAGTCCACGTCACTACTAGTCAGATGAGCCACGGCCACAGTGGGCCATCACTCCAAGCCTCAAGTGCATTTTTTTGGTGTGTTTTTTTTTTGTCCTGGTCAGACCAGAACGATTAGTCTTCTCACTAAAACACGTATGGGCACTATCCTTTTTAAACCCTACTTTCATCTCCCACTTCGGGGAGCGTTTTTGTCTTCAACTAGTTAAAGACAGGAACGGTACAAATAAACTTGGCAGAGCAAAAGTTTTGTATTATCTTGTTCTATTTTGACTCATTTTGTTGTTGTTGTTGTTGTTGTTGTTGTTGTTGTTGTTGTTGTTGTTGTTGTTGTTGTTGTTGTTGTTGTTGTTGTTGTTGTTGTTGTTGTAATCAAAATTAGTGACAAACATTACGTTTTCAAAGACCAAATTTTTTAAAAATCGTTTTTTATTTTGTGTCTCTAGATCTAGAAGGTCGGGGCTCTAAATCTTTTATAACACGATTTTATTTGGCTAAGGAGCGGGTTTTTTTCAGACTTAACAATGGTTATAATCAGTTCATCGTATTCATTTCTTTTAAATATAAAAATCATCTAGATCAACTATAACTTTCCAATAGATCTAAATAGTATTGCGAAGATTTGGATCGGCTGATTAGGACCGTTAGCCCAGAAAAGCTTATTGGCTGAGAATGGAGGCGCAGATATTTTATCAACACGAAATACAATGTTTGAAAAACAATACCAATAATTAACTTTTCATTCAGTCGTGATTAGGCATGCTGCTGACGTCAGAACATCATGTGGTTAGCTATCTGTTCCCGTTCGCTATCATGTTACGCCACCATACGGCTTTGCATATGATATAAATAGAAACACAGGTTTGGCAACACTATATAAGAAAAACAACAACAACAACTATGCTCACAGAGCGTTTTTTGGTTTCTGGCGATAATGTGAGCAAATAAAGTAAATTCATGGGAGTCGTATTTACAGTACGGCAAAGTGTAATGTTTGTGGAATATGTACATAGTAGGTCTATAGCAAGGTGAAACAACAACAGCAACAACAAAAGGGGAGGAGGAGGTTTTATGGCAGATAATAAAACGGAGTAAAAACTGGGGACAGGGGGTAGGCAGCGCTCGGAATGTGACTTTTGTTAGTGGTCAGTCGGGGAGATTTACCGAACACAAGGTCCACAAAAGCTGGAATGGGTGGCGTCTTAGGTGGGGAATGGAAACACCCTCTTGAAACGGGAGAACGAAAATGAGGGAGTGACAAAAGTAAATAGATAAATTAATAAATAAATGAATAAATGAAAAACTGAAAAAAATCACATGAAAAAATGAAAAAATAAACAAACAATAACGTTTAATAATAAATTTTAAAAGTAAATTGAAAAAAATTGAAAAAAATATACACACCGGAATGTAATTAATATTTGTGTGAAAGTAAAAAAAAAGCGTCCTGCAATGGTCCTTGGTGTTCTTGGTTTGGGGTAAAGGTCGGGGGAGGAATTCCAAGATTTTTTTAAAAAACGTATTACCAATGACTTAGTCCAATGTTGTCTTGTCCAACTATTCGTGAGCTTCTACGAAGTTTGTCGGAATCAGGATCGTCAACGTTTGTTTATTTTATTTCTATATATTTTTGGAAAGGGGAAATTCTACTATATTTATCTTTTTTTTTAAAAGTAGAATAAAAACAGAACAGTCTGAGAAAAATACATTGAATCTGTACAGGAAACGGTGTAAAAAAATCTGGAATAATTGAAGAAAGTGAAAGCAGCCCAAAAGAAAACTTGTAAATGTAACAAGTGAGCAAAAATAGGAATGTTTACAAGGAGTTGGAATGAAAACGCTTGGAGCTGCTGTCCTATTTCCGATTTCAGTCCAATTGTTTTTCTTTTTTTTTTTTTTGTAGCATTGTTGTTTTTTCTTATTTTTAATAAACATCAGAAAGGCTAGAAACAGTCTAAGACGAAGATGTTATTTTCCTAACTTCAGGCGCTGCTTTCTGTCTCCTCGTACCCCTGTTCCGAGTTAATCATTCTGCCGTTTCTGCTTGTTTTAATAAAACTGAACAAAGACAATGATATTTCTTATGTACAATATCATGTCATAAGATACACCTTTTGCAACCCAGTCGCCTTAGCTGTGAAGACAAAGAAGGATTGTTTTTTTAAGATTGCAGGTAAAATAACAGACACAAGTACATTTTGGAAATACCACCATACAGCAAAACATAGAACCCCAAAACATTTACTTCAAACTCCACTAGTCATTGATACATTGAAAAAAAATAGTAAAAAGCCCAGGACAGAAAATGTTCGTATAAACTGTATGACATGGTATTCTCAAGTGGCGTCAGTGTGTGCTCAGATTGCTCAGATTGGCAGTGGAACCTTCTCCGTGTCGTTCTGCCCTTCTGCAGCTTTGTTAAAAAAACCAGATAAGATTTCCCAGATTTGTTTCTTCACGACCAAGAGGCAGTTAAGATTTTCTGCATTATTTTGGCACTGGAAAACATTCCGCTCTCGATTTTTTTCTTATGACGTTGACCATCAATATGTGTGTGCGGATTTAAGGTAAAATTTTGGAGATGCTCTTTGAAGTCGGGTACAAATTTTATGGAGATGTGCAATTACAGAAGTGTTTCGCACAACACAATATTCCCAAACCGATTCTGTCCGAACAGTCTCTGTCAGTACGTATCGTCCTGATTTAGCTGCTCTCGCACATCATTTGCCTTTTAAAAAAAACTCAAAACGATGTTATGTGGCTAGGAGCCGGTTCTCTTTGCCCGCTTGAATCAGTTTATTTCGGACACGCAGATTCTTGAAGTAATTCAATAAATCTCCAAAGCTGTATCGAAGCTGGTCGGTCCTTGTGCTCCCGGTGCATTTGTCTTCAGAACGGCTTGGTCTTCAATGCTAATATTACGTAACATGGAACTCTCTTGACAAAGAGTAGACGAAAGAAGTAGATGCGCCAAATTCCTGATGACAGAGGCGGGGGGCACTTTTGCAGCTCCGAGCTGCATGGTAGCTTTATTCAACCGGAGAATCCCAAGTTCTAAAACCCATGAACGCAACTCGAAGCGGGACCTTCACACCTCTGGTGAGCACATAGTTACCTCGTCATAGATGTCCCTTTCATTGCAAAGAAAAGTAAAGGGTCAAAGTTCGAGGTCTGTGTGTATTTGTGATGTGCTTTCCGTTGAGCGCACCCCTACCATGTCCGGCCGTTGATGAGATAGGGGGACGGGGAGGCTAGAGCGTTACCGTTGACAGCCCCAGTGGCATAGCCCATGCCGTGATGTAGTCCGTGGTGGGGCAACCCGTGCTGGTTCAGTCCGTGGTGGGTCAAGGTCGCCGTGAGGTCAGGCGACGGTGTGCTGAGGAAGTTATCATGGTGGTGCGAGGTCAGGCCTGACTTGGAGGAGTTGACAGCGCACGAGGAGTGGAGAGCCGCCGCGGAGAGGCCGTGAGGCGAGCCCACCCCTACGCTGCCTAAATGGTGTTGATTGTGACCCAACAGCGACGACGCCGAGGAGGACGACACGGACACGGAAGAAGAACCCGAGGACGTCTGGTGACCACCTCCCCCTCCTCCCCCACCTCCACTGCCACCACCACCCGATCCGCCGTCAGCCGTTGACTTCCCATCTCTGATCAACACGGGCACAGACACTTTCCGAGGCGATGACGAGGATGATGAAGACGACGACGAAGCTGACGATCCCGAGTTGTTGTGTTTGCTGTGACTAGAGGAGTTGTTGTGTTGCGACTGGCCTCCGCCCCCGCCGCCGTTGCTAGAGTCTTTCTGGCTGGACTCCATCTTTTCCCGGTCTTTCTGCTGGCGTTTGTGCTTGTAGCGGTGGTTCTGGAACCAAATCTTGACCTGCGTGGGGGTCAATCCGATGCTCATGGCCATCTGCTCACGCTCGGGCGCCGACAAGTATTTCTGGATCTTGAATCTTTTCTCGAGCTCGTACACCTGGGGATATTGAGCACAAGACGTGATACGATTGCTTAGACACATCACGGGTGGGGGTTTCAAGTTAGTGGTTGATTTTTCTTTGATAGTATTGTTGTTAATATTCCGCTTTGTATATGTTTATGTGTATTTGAGAGTGTATTTGAGTGTTTATGTGTTTGTGTGTGTGTGTTTGTCTGTGTTAGTGTGTGTGTGTGTGTGTGTGTGTGTGTGTGTGTGTATGTGTGTGTGTGTGTTTGTGCGTTTGTGTGTGTATGTGTGAGAGAAAGAGAGAGAGAGAGCGAATGTGTGTGTGTATGTGTGTGTGTGTGTGTGTGTGT